TATGCTAACAGATTGACTAAAAGATAAATGATAAGATGGACATATTTTTTGGATAAAGTTTAAATTTATTGGAGTAATTTATGAAATTAATATATAATTGATGGAAAGTTTGACTTACTTATTGGTAAGTACTAAGAATACCATAAGTAAATAAACAATACACTTCCAAAGAGAAATTAAAACGTAAGTTTTTGATCGTCGTTCATTTAATGCTGCAGCAAATCGTGCAAGTATTCGAATTGGTGCTAAGGCACTTTCAACATGTACAAAATTTTGCCACCAACTAAGTGATATTAATATCAAACATAGTGGTAAAACAAATTTGAATTTTTGAAGTGTTGCATTTAAATCCTGTAAAATTAAAATATTTGTTTAATTATTTCTAATATTTTTTCAATTTTCAAAATGATTGCCTTTTTATTAAAATGATATTTATTTTGCCGTATATGATAATCATCGTTGTGTTTGGTGAGAAAAAAAATAAAATGCAAATGACAATTATCAGATATCGATTATCAAGTATGCATCATTTAGTGAAATTTGATGAAAATTTAGTGAAATAATATTGCAGCAAAAATAATATCAATTTTTTGTGTATTTAAAAATTAAAATTTATTGCAAATCCAAAATCTCTTCTGTTTTATCTGATAACAAATAATAATCGTAATGCAATAATGGTGAAATAAATTTTAATCATTCAAATCTTATGGAGTAAAAAAAAATATTGCTCGGAAAATGAAATTGATGAAGGAAGTATTCAACGCATAATTTTAATGCAAAATAAAATATCTGAGAACTGTTTAATTTGTATAATTGTTATTTTCAAAGTTGAAATTCAAAAAAACAAACATTGCTGATTTTAAAATATTCCTCTTAAAATTCATTCCTCCGTAGATTTGAATAATATTTAAATTAACTGACAGTTATTTTATCAAACATTTATCATCATATGAAATCTTCTTCAAGTAGAAACGATTTCATCTGATAAGGAAATAATTTAAAATAATGCTTTTTCTTATTCCTGTATTGTTTAAAAATTAGCAAAATTAGTGCAAAATTTTGATTAGGAATTTTTTTACACTATTTGAAATTTAACTTTGCTTTCTTTTTTTATTGCATATGCAAAATAGAGAGAAATTCTTACCGATAACGCCCACAGTGCGACAATTTGTACAATTATACAAAGAAAATCAGCGGCCATAAGTAATATGGCTAAACGATTTGGTCGACGATTTAATAATAATAAAATAGTTGGCACGAAACATGCAAAATTAGTGAGCATTGCACCTGTAAATAATTAGCACTGATAGCTTAATTAAAATGTTAACATCACAAAATGATCTTGTTTACACAATAAATTTTTTAAATATATTATTTGTTAAATAATGTAAAATAAATTAAATTTGAAATATTTTTTATACCTTCTAAGATTCCATTTTAAATGACAACAAAATGTCATTGAAGCAAACTGACCGGTAATGGCATCCAAATTAGGCAATATTTTAAATACTAATATACCAACACCAATAGCATTTAAAGTTTCCACAACAAAAACCTGATGATGAAGTGTGTAAAGGAGATTGATAGATGATAAAGTGTCGGTGATACGGATGATAAGATAAAGCTTGCAAGGAATGAAATGTTTGCTGCTAGCTCTGGTCAGAGAGTTAAATGATAAAGTGATATTTTCAGTGATATCAATGAAATCTGTAGGAAAAATTAAGGGAAATCCACAACTGTTAAAGTTTAGTCTTTTTTCCATTTTCATTAAAAGTTAAACTTCGAAATATGCTTACAGCAAGAAATTGTATAAACGTTGGTTTTTTGACATTCCGAAAGAAGGCTCGATGAATGGAACCAATGAAGCATTGCAATTCCGGAATGCATAACGAAATATAAACTGCCCAAACCCACTTTATGACATGTGCTGGCAACACTTCCACTTGATTAGTAGGACTTTCTGGAATTTTTACTTTTTTGAAATATATTTTGTCAAAAATTAAAACAAACACTTGTATGTTTGTTGAGCTAAAGATATATTCTACTGATGAAAGTTCAAATCTTGATAATTTGACAACTTCAAGAATTTCAACCGAAGAATGATTAATAACTCTAAACATTAATTTTTTCCCATGTATAACATCATAAGTGAATCGTTTTTTGTTTTGATACCAGATCCAGAATGATTCTCTCTTGATACAAACTAGATCAAGAATGATTCCCTCTCGATAGCAGATCAGGAATGATTCCCTCTCTTTACTACATCAAGAATGATTCTCTCTGGATACCAGATTATGAATGATTATTTTTTGATAGTTGGTCTCTATCTATAATAGATCATGAGTGACATGGATTAAACTGAAATTATCTTCACAGTAAAAGTGAAATTAATTCATTTAATTTTATTTATTATCTAAATTAAAATTAAAATTTTTTTCTTATTAAAATTTGAAATTTTACTTTTTTGTGCATAATCATAACCTAACTAATAGATTGATTATAAACTAATATGAAGAAGTGAATTATTCACTTCATCTAACAATTCTAAACAAGTAAACCGGTTTCCTCTTAACGTATTCTGGAAATGGTTCGGAATAGATAAGCAAATATCCGGTTAGCAAATATGATTAGTCATAAGTTGAACAAAAAAAAAAAAAGGAAGAAAAAGGACGTCGTATCAGAGTATTCGAACAGTAGTAATTTGAATGAAAAGAAAGAAACCAGTTCATTGAATAAATTAATCAATTAATTAAATTATAAAACTGCTTATCATTTATTGTTTTTCTCTCGAAGCATTTGAAATTTTTAAAATAGTTAGTTAACTATGTATAGTTAGTTAACTTTTACATTGAAAAGAGACTGAAATGTGAATTAATATTCTAGAGAATAATAGTGAATTATCACTCTATATTATCATAAAGATTCGATCTTTGTTTAAATTGTGCCACTTTTTTTTTTTTAATTTTATTAAATTATTGATTATTTTGTCATTCTTGTAACAGTATAATTTGTTTCATATAAATAGTAATACAATGATTTTATCCTCTTATCTTCTTATAACATCCTTAGCACATTTTTGTTTATCAGTTTATTCAAATGTTTATCATAATTATTAATGATAATTGAATAATCTAAGAAAAAAGGGATGATATATTAAAGTTTATTGGATTACAATAACACACCGGGGATTTTGTCGTTACAAATGGTTAGATTCATCCTGATGGTACCAATTGCTGAGGTCATCAATAGAAAAGTTGCCTTTGCAATGATGGCACTTAGGAGTGTTAGAATGAAGAGGACACAGAAACAGATTATTTTCAAAATTTGTAAGCTTACATCATACCAGAAACCTGAAATGTTATTCCAATGATGAGTATTCATATCAACAACAATTAAGCTAACTTCAAATAAAATTATTTAAAACTTTAAATAACGTTTTTTTTTCAAATTTAAACTTTAAATAACATTTTTTAATCTTAAAAATCACATGAAAAACAAAGGAGTGAATGAAAATGAATAAACAAAAGCATAAATTTAATAATGTCAATTTGTTAAGTTTTTATAATTTAGCGTCATAAAGGATTGTTTTAAAAATTAAACTAATTATCGAAGTCATTTTATATAAACTGGTTTTTTATTTGAAGCGAATTTAGCGCGCTGAATTCAAAAAAAATTTGCTCACTGTTGAGAAAGTCTGTTTGAAAATATTCAATTATTTTGTTTAAATGGATTTAAATTAGGCTTTATTATATAATGTTACAAATAAGTTTTCGATATTGCGATTCATTTCATTTCATTTCAATATATAAATTTTTAGTCTAAATTAAGTACGCAATTTTTTATTATTCAAATTTTAAGTCAAATTTATTTTTTGTCAAGATCAATTTTTCCAAAAACTTTCACTAACTAATTAATTTTTCCAAGTTTATTAAAGTTCCTAACGGATGAATCAAATTACAGCAAAATATGATAATTTAAAGCAAAAATAATTGGTAAAAGTATTATACAATAGTTAATCTCATAGCATTTTATATTATAATTATCTCATTAATTAATTAATTTTCTGTTTTATAATAAACAACAAGATAATTTTAAATTTTATCAATTAATCGATTGAATGAAACTCTAGAAACGATTACCTAATTTCATTAAGCATATAATCAATTTTAACAAATTCTCATCATCTCTTTTAACATTAATATTTTGCAATCGAATTCCAAAAAATAAAAATAAATCAAATTCATATTTTTAGAATTCATTACTTTATTCGGTTGAATAAATGAATGTGACTTTATGAATTATGCTTATGTGTAAAGGTTATTGAAATATGGATCATCATTTGAAGCTTCAGACTGAAATGAAATGGAATTATTTTGAAATGGAACCAAACGTAAAAATAATTTTTTGCATTCACCTCGATTTAGATTATCTGGTGGCAGTGGCAATAAACGAAAAACATCCCATCCTCGTGGCACTGTTGTCCAACTGAAAATGTCAAATATTCTAAAATTTAAGCATTTTCAAAATTTTGAAACTCTAGCAAAATCAAATTTCTAAACTTACGAAACAGTTTCAATTTTGGAATTTTTAGTGCCAATAGCTTGCATACTGGATGTGTACGAGTCACTCGGTGTTATAGGTAACGGAAAACCGCGTGATCGCTTATACATAATGGAATGATTAAGATTATCGAAAGTATTAGATGGTATGATATGACTTGTACCAACCGTTGCACCAACAATACAACTTTCCAGTTTACCCATCTCAAATAAAAATTTAACAATCATAAGATGAATAATGTAACATTACGGCAAATTAGCTGATTCATATTTCACACACAACACGCATTTATCTTTACGTATCACGCACAGCATTAATTTGTTTTGTGATTAATTCGTATTTATCTTCACGTACCAACGCCTACGTCACAGCATTAATTGTTGGGATTAATTCGTATTTATCTTCACGTACAACGCAAATTAACTACGTCACAGTATTAATTGTTGGGATTAATTTGTATTTATCTTCACGTACCACGCAAATTAACTACGTCACAGCATTAGTTGCTTGGGATATTAATTCTGCTGCGAAAATTTGTTATGAATGAATCTAATTTTATCACTACAATTTATATAAACACAATCATTTGAAAACCTGAAATTTTTACTGGATATAAAGGGGAGGTGAAAAATACTCGAAATAATAATGAACATAATACCGCTAATGGTTTATGTATAATAATGGTACCAGTGAAACTGGTTCTTGCTATGGTAACAATAATGTTAAATGTTGTGATTGTTGTAGTAACAGTAGTAACGGTTGTTTTTGTAGTATTGGTAGCAATGGCTATTATAGTTGTTAGTGTTGCAGTAACAGTAGTAATGGTTGTTGTTGTTATTGTTGCAGTAATAGTGGTACTTGCAAATGTTGCTGCTGTTGTTGCAAAAGCAGTAATTATTGTTGTCGTAAAATAGTAGTACTCGTAGATTTGTTATTGTTGTATTAATATATTGCTGTTGTTTTAGCAACAGGAGCAAAAGAATAAATAAATGTTTGCTACAATAATTACAAATGATTTGTTCTAAATATGATAGATTTGTCATCCGTCTTCACTAACATATGTTCATCCGATAAGAAAATTCAATGAATGTTGTACGAGGAGGAGTTTTAAACAATTTCTCTATTATTTCTTTTTTTTTTACATTTTTAGCTTAAAATGTAAATTTTTTTTTTCAATTCTGTTTATCCTCTCTCTTTTCAGTTGATTATATAATGCAATTTTATTATGATCTAAGAAACTTGTTTATTTGTTTGAATCATCCAGAAAAAACAAGAAAAAGTACAAGAAGAAATCTGGATTTCAATTGGTAACAAGATAAGAGATATGTAATAAAGTGAATTCAATCCAGATTTACTTGCCAGATGTTTGCTATTTGTTGATGACGATTGTGAATCATATTCTGAAAATTAGGTAAAAAAAAAGGAAAGAGAGGAAAAGAAAAGAGAGAGAGAGAGAGAGAAGGAGAAATGACAATAGTCGATGGATCAAATTTCAATAGGCAAAAGGAATAAATGAATGGATAAGTAAGTATTTGCTTGATATGGCGCAAATAATTTATAAAATTTTGAAATCTGAATTAAATATGAAAAATGTTACATTTAAATTTCTCCCACTATTTCTTTCTTCAAATCTTTTATTGTTGCTTTTAAAAAATTAATTCAGGAATTATTGATGTAACAGTCCAGATTGGAAATTCAGAAATGTTAAATTGAATTAATGATATTCATTATGAGTAATTATAAAATCTTTGAATAAATAATCAAAATGATCATTCCTTCTTCCATTTATCATTTGTCAACTATTCATTGGGAAAAAAGCTAATATAGCATCACTTTCATTAATTATTTCTGTCATTATCACTGAACTATTATCAAAATATCAAATAATTATTTTAAATTCTCGATAAAGAAATAACGCCATCTTTAAAAAATTCCAAACATCACCCGATTATTTCATCAACACCGTAATCTTTTATTTCATCACTATTATCGCTTACATCATTATATTTAACTTGAATTTAGTTTCATTTACACATCTGATCATTCATGATATTTTAGTTAGATATTATCTTTTTTTGGAAAATAAGCAATATACTTGAACTGTTACCAAAGTTATCAAGTTCAATAGGTTTGTATTCAAAATGATTGAAGAAATAGGATGAGATCCATCGGATGAAGTTTTTGAAATTTGTCATTCTGATTTTTATTTCTTAAAAATTTAAAAATCTTACTTGTACTCTTTTTATTTATTACATGTATATGCATTTATAAATTTTCAGTTTCACTTTAGTTCCATAATCCTTTCGCTAACTTTTTTACTAATCATTGCTGATAAGAAAGAAAAGCTCTCCGTTGAAATGCATGACGGCTTCTTTGATTGAACACGTAATTAATACAGGAAGAGTAATAAAGGAAGAGGAAAAAAATTTTCCCAATTAATTAACACTAAAGACATTTGTCATACTACTTATAACATTTTTTCATCAAATAGTAATCTATCATGAAATTATTTAAAAAAATTAAAATGCTATTGGAATAGATAACTACAACTGAAACTAAATATTAAAATTATTAATCAAAATTTCTATCAGAAGCTTAACACAAAATTCTACATTCTATAAGCTTTTTTGGTTCTTTCTATTAAAAAATAAATTTTTCTGGAATTTCTGGAATTTCATTTCCTATTCTTTTTTCTCGTTCTTTTAAAGTTGTCAACTGTTTTTTAAAAAATTTCAAACGAATCATTTGAATGATAATTCACTCGATTATTTCTCCTGCCCATATCGATAAAATTATAACTCTGCTACATTTATATACTAAAAAATACTAACTGTTACAATTATAAAATAAATTAATATTTAGAAAGCAGTAGATCACATCGTTCCATGGTCTTCTGCTTTCTGAATACTAATTAATTCTAAAAATATTAGTAAGCTGATACTAATGTCATTTATTTCTTCTTTAACTTATTCCTATTTCTACAATACGTAAAATATAAACTTAAATCCGGATTACCGGATGTCATACCAACAGCGTTCATAGCAATATTGTTCATTCATTTTTTTCTTGAAATTTCGAGAAAAACTCCGATACTACGGCAGTGCGGTAATGGTAAAACAAAAAAAAAGGGGAGAAATATCCATTTGAATCTCAATTACTTAATTAATAAAGTACTTGCCTATTAGAAATCAAATTGGGACGATCGATTTTATGCTTATTTGCAACATGCGGAATAGCACATTGACTTTCATCGGAACTTTTTCTTGAACGAGTTTCATTCTGAAATTTGATAAATTTCTCAAGCAGATTGTCACTCTTTTTCGTTTAATTCAATACATTTCCAAATTTCCATATAACATCCTTCAGTAACTCTTTAACATATCTCATCATTTCAAGTCTCATTTATTTAAACATAATTAATTATGATTATTAAATCAAATATAATTGAATACAATAATTATTGTCACTTAAAAATTGAATATAATTGAATTTAAAAAATGAGCAATCAAATACACATTTTAATTGGTATAAAAGTTTACTGTACCCTTTATTTGAAATATTAATGAATTCAAAGTGATACGATTTTCTTAGCACCTTCTTATATCGTCCAGCATAACCGATCAGTGTTGGTTCATTATTCACATCGACAGGAATGTACGCATATTTTGAATCCTTGAAAAGAGAAGACTTGAAAACATAAAATATCAGTAATAAATATCTGAAACAAATTTTTGATATTATACAAAAAAAAAAATTATCAACAAATCAATGTCCACACTCACAATAAGTTAGATATTCTTCGAAAAAAAAAGAAAAAATTTGAAAAACTGTTTTTAAAATGATATAATGATGAAGTAAAGTAACTGTTGAAATTGCATTTAGAAGTGATCGTTTTAAAAGTATGATAATTCCTCCAAACAATCGTTGTATCATTTTGAAAACAAAGCATATGAACAAGAAAAAAATTATTGAAATGTTAGTGTTTTTTATTGTTAAAAACTCCATTTATTATATAATATGCTAATAATTATTGTTATATGCTATTAATTAATCAGTAAGATTTTTAAAAAAAAAAAACTGATAAATCGATTTTAACTATTTTGTAAAATGGAAATAAAAGTTGTATCTTTAATTGATAGAATAATAAGTATAATGCAAAAAAAAAATCAGTAATTCCTACAAGAAAAAAATTGAAAATTGTAATGTTAATAAGATTGGTAAGCTAAAATCAATGGACACACAAATGAACAAAGACTTTAAGCAGTAATTTTAATTAAATTATCCCTATAACAAAATTGAATAAAAATTGAACATTAGTAAATGCTGTAACAAAAAAACTTCATCATTGATAAATGAAATGGTTAGAAAAGATAGTATGATAGGCTGTTATAACATGCAGATAATCAGATATGTCATTTGAAAGATCAAAGACAAAAACGGTAAAAAATAATAACTATTTGAAGAAAGAAATTTTAAACAAAATACCTTTCCATTAAAAATTCGCTTGGTGGTGGTGACCTTATGTGCCATCATTTGTTGCTAATGGAACCAATGAATGGAAAAAGTTGAATAATCGGCTGTCACCTTTGTAAATTCTTCTCTTAGAAATAAGTGGAATAAAATCGAAACAGTAAGAGTTACTGTGCACTTCATATGTATGTGTATGTATGTGTATGTGTGTATGTCTGTGTATGTGTGTGTGTGTGATAAATTTATAAAGATGGTATTAGTTGAAAGAAATCAATTCGAAAATTAATTTAAATGAAAGCAGGAAAAAGTATATGATATAAATTAAGACTTACAAAAAAGTTTCTTCTGCAACTGAAATTTATAAATTTGATGGAGCTTGGTGTGTATGTGTATGTGTGTGTGTGTGTGTGT